GACCTATAATAATTTTTGATCTGGCACTAATTAAATCTTCACTGCCAAATTTGCAGCTAATATTATCCATTGTGCAATAAATAAGTATCCCAAATTAGACTAAAATTCGATTAGTGCATGTCCACACAAAACTTATTCAGTAATACCCCGATACATAATTTGAAATTAAAACTATTTGTTGCAGAACTGCACATACGCATAGTTTTGCATATTTTAAGGGTTTCACCTATTTAATTGGTTCACGTGATTTTATGGCGATGGCAAAATAGAAGTATTAATTAAGTTTGTTTAGTACAGAACCGGAGGGCTCTGAAAATGATCTTCAATCTTTTGAAGGAAAACAGAAACATGAAAATAAATTAGGGTGGTTAAACGAATACCAAAAATTCAGCTACCTAATAAAAGTCTCAAAGAAAAAAAAATGGATTGTGTTCAATTTAACATCCGTCGTATGCATAATATGGCTCAACAAAACTTCAAATAATTAATATTTTTAACACAACATTTTGCTAGCAGTGCATATTGCCGTCAGACACAACGTAGTCGGTGCCTTTATATTAAGAGAGGAATAACGCGATTTAATGCGTCTTAATAATTGAGGCTCTACTGGAAAAATCTATTACATACGTTAAAATGGCAACCAGACCTTTCAGAAATATGAAGCGTAACATTTAAGGCGTAAAAACAGATTAATAAGAAAAGCCATTAAATTTCCTGTTAAAACAGGAAATTCAATTCGAATTCACTAATTTTTTATTTAATTATTGATAGTAAAGAAGAACGTTTTTAATAGTAGGTAAATAAATTTACCATTTATAACTTTAACTCATAACTCATCGGTTAATGAGTTATGAGTCATTTATTAAAGGGTTACGAGCCCGAGACTGGAATTTTCACACCTAAAAAAAAGGTTTCCAACATTTTTTCTTAGTAACGTTTTACTACTTTGTTCAGACAACTAAAAAAGTAATCTAGATTTTCCTAACAACACAACTGAGTCAAAAGAAAGTCGACGAGTTCTCTTGTAAAATCGATCTGCTAATTTTTTTGCATAAAAGGTTCAGTTTGCCAGTATTTTACGGTAAAACGTTAGTAAAAACGCGGTTTTCTGTTTAGACAATATTGTTTAGAAATATTGACCTCCCCATTTTTTAACAGTTTTCCAAATAAATGATTCTAAACTTTCGCTTTTTCAATTCGGGAAAAATGTTTCGAAAAAGACCCAGAACTAATTATTATGGTTTTGTCCATAATTCGAAGCKGCAAAAAGTTTTCGAAAAATGTCTGCAAAGCGGTTAAAGAGGCGAGTGTTCCAATAAAAATTGTCTTACAATTGTTCACAGAAAATACCCCAAGATTGTTAGTATTTTAAGTAAAACTAAAAGATAATGCTATTTTTGGGTTGAAAGAATTGATTAATAGAAACTTTTTTTGTAAAAAAAAACGTTTTTGTAAAATTTTTACAAAGCCATAAATTTATCTTGTAATGTTTCGCGTAACAGACCTCCAGATCGTCAGTACTTTTAAGCGAAACTCTACAAAATAGATCGCTTTTGAATAAAAAATAAAGCAAAAAAATTAAGTCAAAGCTAAAAACCCGCATTTAAAAAAAACTCTACACTCTTCAGAGGTCTACAGTCTACAGTAAACTTTCGCGTATTTCATAAAAAATTATTTTATTTTAGTTCCAAATTCGACACTGGAAAAGGATTTCACCTTTTTTTCGCGAAAATACCGTACGATTGTCAACATTTTTAAGTGAAACTGAGGAAATTGAGCATATAGAAGAAAGAGTAACTTGGCTAACACTGGAAAAATCTGAACTTTGAAGAACTTGAAAGAAATTTAAAAAATATTATTGAGAAATAGCCCTTCTAAAAACAAGTAAAAAAGTCATCAACATTTTCCCGGCAGCGGAACTGAGTTAGTGCGCCGGTGCGATAAAAAATTCAGGCCCAGGCTTATTATGTATAAGTATATAAAATCGTCTTGTTGCTTGTATTTTTTAAATTGTTGTGTGATTGCTGCAATTGTTGATTGTATTTTTAGAAAACACATTCACTTTAAGCGAGTAAATATATACTTATACGCTTGCTACATTTCATTCTAGATTTAAATTATATAACGTTATTGCATTTTTTGCTACAATGTTTAAATATTGTGAGAAGGGATGATTGATTGTGAATGGGCCGATGAGAGGCTCGAATAATGCTTTTTCTAATTCTAATAATGCTAACTCCGTTTTTATTTTGGACACAACAGGTACCACTTCAATGCAGTTTTCAATTTTCAGCTAACAAACAAACCCCAGCTATCAGCACATTTCTGCTTCTGATAGGTCAAAGCCCCAAAATTTCCGACTTCACCTGGGTATTAGGAAATTTAATAGCTAAATTGAGTTGGTTCAATACTTCTATGCAGTCATGTTTCAACATTATGATTTCTGCCTTTACTGAAAAGTGTTGAGACTCTAAAATCGAATTAATTAACTCTTACACAAGTGTGCCGCTTGATAAAGTTTCCTTTGACCATCCACCGAATTAAATGACTTCCACCCTTTCCTGCAAAGCGACTTCCGCTTCTCAACTTTATATGACGTTAAATAAAAGGAGATTTAATATCCTAGATGGAATTTTGAAGAGCTACTTGTTTGTAACATTTTCAATTTAATTTTACGGGTTTACCTTAAGCGAGAAAAATGCCTCCATCATCTTTTATCCAGCAGCAAGTATTGATAAATGGAATTTCTATAGGTATACGTCATAGAAACATATGCATTTTTGGTAAACCACGTAAGTAATAACACTTTACGTTGTCGGTACTGGATAATCGTATTATAGAAAATAATCACAAAGTTACACTTAAGATACAGTTGCCGCAAAATGGGGCAAGTGTATATGAAATACAAGGAAATATGTTTGATGGTTATTTTCAATGAATTGTTCACTACAAGATGATGCAAAATTAGCGCCGATTCATTTAAGGAGTTAGACAAGAATACAAAAAAATCAGTGTGTTTGTCCAAGTCGTCAGTTCTGGAAATCTCAATATTGCATTTGCCATCAAGCAGCATTTTGAGATACCGGGTCTATGACTAATCGTACAATCGAAACATTTGCGAGACATGCTTTAACTTAACATATTTTTTTAATTGAAAATATGTATATTTCTCTATCCTTGTTAAGGCGCTAGTAAGGTAAAGTTCTTAATACCACTTCTGTTCGACTTTTTTTTATCTGCTACAATGTCGTGTGTCAAATCCATCTTCATGAGAATAAAAATCAATACTAAAATCTCCACTTAAAATGAATGGTTATTTATGGTAGTTTTGGCCAAGTGAACTGGAACCTTAAGGCCTTTGAATGCGAAAGGAGCGAATGATCCAATTTATACATACGAATTCGCATAAAGGACACTCGTCCACACATAATTCTTATTTCATAACTTTAATAATGATCTCTAATGGTAAAATAAACTCATAGCTTTAAACAATGATTTTTTTGGTATCTTAGCCACACTACCAATGTATGCTTCATTTCTAGCACATTAACATGATCATTAATAATTATTTGTGTATTTTTTGGTATGCGGTAAAGTGTTATGTTCCGTGTTTAGTTTAGTTAGTCACAAATAAAAACATTATCTATGCTATAATAAATTGTAAAAAGCTTTATAAATATTGCACCAAACCTGCTAATGGCAAAATAAAGTAAGATTGGATAACGAGGTTTCAACAAATTTTGAAACGGCTACTTACTTTAACATAATATTTCCATAAATTATTTCGCTGATGTATTTACTTATTGAAGCATCCCGTAACATATTAAGAAAGTATGAAAATAAAATATTGGAAAACAGTTAAATTTTCCAGCAAATGCAACGTCCGATGGAAAAAGAATGAGTTCCTGAGAGAGAGAGAATGAGAAAATGTTCCTGAAAACTGAAAAAGTAATTACCACTCATGCCTCCCCGCTAGACTTCCACTCGTAAATTTTATGGGTTATAGACATCAGGCACACTCCTATAAATTTTCGTTATATCGACTGCACTAGCTGTTTGGATTGACGATACGAACGAAAACAGTCTCAAGAAACATGCGATAAATCATTGATAAAGTATCACACAGAAAGTCTCCGATACAGGCATTGTAAATTATCTGATATTAATTTTTCGGTTTTGTTGATGGTATTTTCTAAAATGCTTGTCTTGCACGTTTAGCAAATGTGAAGTGAGTTATTGCATCCAACAGTTTAAAGCAAGTAAACACATGAACTGGTTTTGTACTTGATATGTGCGATTAAAATTAGTTTTTAGGAAATATCTGTCATTATTGAGTGTCTCATTACCATTTCTATTTAAGTACTTATTCAGAATAAATAATCTAGTGTTCACACAACTCAGCACACTTAATGGTTCGTTGTGACGGTTTCGAAAATTGGGGGGTAGTTTACTAGCAATAGTAAACCTATGATTTGGGTCAGTCGTTTGTTTGGGATTTCAACAGGAGTTAAACTACTTTGTATGTGAAGAGCTACAGCAGATGTGTCCCTTTCCAGTTTTAAAACCCGGCAAAATAGAATACTGTTTATGGGCACAAAATATTCCTATCATAATAATTTCACTAATTGTTAGCGCAGGATAAAGTTTTTAATTTTGCTAAGAAGTGTTTAAAGGTATGCGGGTATAAAATCCTCATTCGTTTCTTGAATTTCTTGTTAAACCACACACATGTGAAAGCAATAATAATATTTTAAAATTTATTTTATAAGCCAATACCTACTAAAGTTAGAACTACTAGTGTTCTAGTATACTCTTTGAGCTGACGAGTGAAATATAATTGTAATTGTTTTTGACCGAGAGGTACGCAATGATATACTTTAAAATAGCTTTCATTTTCATCCTTAGTGGTTTTCAACCCTGTACTTTAAGTACTGAAAGCTTTATTCGTATGCAAAAAATGTATCGAAATCTTCTAATTGGTCTATTTGTCATTGTTCTAGGTGTTTGATAAATCTGTAACCAAAAAGATTCCGGATAGAGATCTAATTCGAACGGAATCTTTTTTGGAGCTGGTCCTCTCTCCAAATGATTTCCACAACGGCCGATTAACTCTGAAGTGCGTGGCTCAAATGGGAGATTTATATCAGCAAGATACCGACATCACTTTTACCAACGTTAAGGATCCCATTCCAGCTCGAGGTAAGTTCATTTTTATTGCGTAATTTTTCGAAAGTTTATCAGACGAAAACGCAGAGAAAGTTCTCTGAAATATTACCCGAAATTTAATACAAGTTTTAATAAAATTTTCGTCGTAAAAATTTTGTTACCTCAAAGTTTCTCAACTTATTGCAGATTGTATTATTGATTTTCCTATAAAATGGACGGCGAATTCTTTTATGAAAGACTGCCTGTCAGCAATCATTCAAGAGTAAAATGGGATTAAGCAACTCTGGAGCACTTTATAAAAAGTGAGGAAGTTAATGTTTTGAACTCTTAATTTCAATTTAATTTGTAACGTTAATTTTAAGTTACATTTATTTGATAACTTGACATTTATTAATTAACTGATTTAATCCATGCTATGCAACTTAGTTAAATCTCGCTAGCGTTCTAGTTTTAATTTTATTTACGCTTTCCCAAATTTACCATTTATTAAATTAAATTCTCATATCTGTACCTCGATTGAAAATGAAAATATTGATTTATGAGCATCTCATCATCATTTAAATAAGCTGCAAACTTGGAGATTTTATATATTGGGACGAAGCTCTAATAAGCGGATCTGTTTTCTACTGTCTCACAAACTTTACTTGTACAGCTGAAACTTTTGATATTGTACTTCCACACGGTTGTATCAAGTTTTAATAAGCATTTCAATTACAAAGGAGGAGAGTCGAATATCAAAACAACGCGTTCCAAATTCTTGAATAAGCAATTCTTCCCCAACAAGTTTTATGCTGCTTTATTCGCACACCGAGAAATTTTAGAGAATTTGAAAATGGCGAAAGTTCAGTACATGCAACTAGTTACAACTCATTTTGAAGCTGATTGGGATCTAGTCAAAATTTTATTATGTTAAATTTCTCCAGAACAGTGAATGGGATGGAAATTTATATCGTGGAATCAAAATTCAATTTAAAAAACAGCAAAACAAGGATCTGTTGGATTGTTTTCGAAAAGTTGGTTTTACTTAATGAGCAAAGTCAAAATATAGCTACTGACTAATCGAATAATCTAAGCAACTATCGTAAATGCATTTACGATAGTTTAAGTAGAAATAGATGAGGATGTTGTTCTTCCAAAAAAGTATGTGAAAATGTTTGAATTTTAGATAAGTTTGAATTTTCAATTTTAAACCAGTAAACTTTATTCGAGTAAATCAAGTCTCCTCTTTGACTATTGCCGCTGCACCACTTTTAATCCAGCGACTTTATACTCTCTTTAGACTCCTCACAAAGGACATGATCAAACGCTCAAGTTCTTAAGCCTGCTTCTCTTTTCACCCTCAAGCTCAAATATACTCTCCACCCGATAATTAGTAGTTAATCCCGTTTTTCTGTGTTAATTGGTATAATTTTTTGTTGATTTCCCGATTTGCAAAAGCTGGGCATATAGAAGAAAAAAGAGGGCATATAGAGGAAAACTTTACATCTGTTTAAGTCCGAAGCTCTGACGAGATCTAGCACTTATTCAATTTAATTTTTTTCTTAAATTTATTTGTTATCAGTTTAACATTTTTCATAACTAATAATGTGTAAAATTAAGAAAGAACATTTCAAAGTTTGAAGTTAAAAGGTCAATGTCCGTTAGGTATGAAGCAATATTTGATTTTCATCCAGTCGGACTGGTTCTAATTTGAATAAAATATTTAATTTTGCTACCTTTAAGTAAAATGGACATGGTCTCAATCATAGACAAAATAATATTTTTCTTATCTGTTAGTGCGAGTCATCTTGTAATAGTATCCAACTGAAAATGCTCAATCACGAAGTTTAGTTTTAGCTAGCTAAGAACTTTACATAACTTACTTGATATCGTACTTAAGTCCTTATTTTCAAACTAATCAAGAATTCTCAGCGGGTGAGCCTGGTAAAAGATGAACCAAATTGCCAGAGAAAATGCACACTTCCTTAATACTGTTAGTTTCGAGTTTAGCACAATGCAAATGTGTTATTTGAGCAATTGGAGGCAAGCCATTAATATCTTGAGTAAAGTAGCGCAGGCTGATTAAACTTTTAAAATCAATTTCTGATCAGCGAAGTATCAAGAGAACAAATCAGAACACATCCCAAGCAGATTAAGTATTAAGAGAAATACTCTTTCAAACTTATCAAGGTTTAGTAAATAAGGCCGCAGAAGCGCTAAAACTGTTAGAAACTCTTAATGATCTGAATAAGATTTAATAAGACTTTGCAGGCTTTTAGGGCCGGTCAAATATCAGTTGAAACATTATATTGGCTTATAAGTTGTTCTTCTGTGTTGACCATAGTTGAATGCAGTCAGGTAACGGTTGAAATTGCTTTCCGTGGTTCTCTAGAAAGACTGATATCTCAACTGGACATATCAACTGGTGTCGCCGATATATGTATGGAGAAGATTGGGCCGAGGTGATGTGATGATGTATGAGTTTCGCCACATCATATTGTTCGTCTGTCCCAATCCCAGCTTCTTTTGGGTTCGGTAGTGTTGGTGCTGACTCTCCGTTTGAATCCACTAGGCGCAGTTTCATCAAATCTTGTAGACCCCAGATGATGAATCATCAATTTTTTTTGTAGTAAGGCTCTTTCAATTGCATTTTCTGGGTTTGAAGATGGTGATTAATGTGCGTTTTTAACACCCTCCCTATGGTGCCAACCACCTGGTGTTAGTAATGCAGACGAGCTAAGCACCCATTCTCAATTATTTGATTCTGTGATGCATTTCAGAATGACGCATTGGATGATTGTTGGAGGTTTTGCACTTATTAATAATATATATATGGATGAACTTCGACAACTATTTACCTACTCGTTCAAAGTTATTAGGTTCAATTCAGTCATTTAGTCAAAACACAATTCAGTTCTTTCCTTGTAGAGTGTCACGTGGGTATAACGGCGATTTTGAAACGTGTTCATAAGCAACGCCCGAATGGTCGAGCGTTATTCCATGGCGTGATTTAAGTGGACATAAAGTTATGGGGACGTTTAAACGACTATCTGTTTTAGTATTCATACAAGACCCACTTTATATAAGCAAAGAGAGACTCTCTTGTATGAGGAAAGGAACCAGTAAGTATGATACAAAATATACCGCCGAATTTCTGGGGAAAATAGTACCATTTCCCTTATTGTACAACTTGCCTTAAATGCAAAATAAATAATTTCCGATGACAGAAGTGAAGAGAAGTAGAAATAAACAGAGTCAAAGTTACTTTTCTAAATTGTCTAATCAGATTTTCAAGTGTTTTCGATGGTTACAAATTTGATTATGTGCTCAGCTTTAAGGCGGCTTTTGGAAGGCGACACCTGCAGCCTGCAGCAAATGCTTCGCTTTACAATCGCCCTAACTTCTGTCTGAAACATACGAATAAATATTTTCCAGTATATTATAAAGAAAAAAGTTATTCCTCGTTGGTACCCCTAAATTCAACGGTTTTTGGCACAACTGCAATGCAAGTACATACAATTCGGAGCGATGCATTCATGGAAAAAGGCTTAGATGAGATTTATGGATGGAATAAAGAGCAAAATAATTATTTGATGAACATTACCAAATTTATGCACAGAACAATAAATAAACTTAATAACACTAAAAAAGAACTGATCATATTTTGACAAATTTTTTTCTAAATATTCAGTAACTATTATATATATATTTAATCAAACGTTTTTCGAATTTAAAAAATAGACGTTTCTGTTTAAGTGTTTTGAATTTTTAATAATAATTTGTCTCGGGTATCTATAGTTTCGTCTGACACTAAATACTTCAGGCATCCTCATAAAGAAAAATCTAGGGTACTGGAAATAGGACTTCGTGTTGGCTATTACCAACCCAACGATTCGAGAAATATACATTTAACTAATTCTTCACTTTCAATGGGAAATGAGCTGGAGCTACTGCCTTCATCAGTAAATATAATTTCTTATGTTTGGAAGTTTGTTTTCCAAAAAATTAAGGTTATTATTTTGTAGCAAATGCAAATACAAATTTTCATTTAATTTGTGTGATAAAACATCAGGATCACTGTGCAGAGTCAAATTAATTAAAAAGCATTACAGCATACTAAATGAATATTTTTTACGTAGATTTATATTTACGTCTAAGAAGAAATGCATTGCATCGAATATTTAAATTGAAGATGTTTGGAAAACGGTTTATCCGAGGAGACCAACTGTGTATACCTTTTTGTTTAAAAACATTTGAAGCCAGGTATTTGGGTGTTACTTAACAGAATCGGAATTAACTTGATTCAGAAGCGAATCATTTGCATGTTTTTGTGACTGACTGAAAAACAACATTAAAAAATAGTTTGACTCTACGAATTGTTCAGTTTTTTTCAAACTAGGTTGTTCCAAATCGTAATATTTTTACCACAGAAAACCGCCATTAATTATTTGACCAGTGCGTTGTAGAGAGTGTCCGACAAATATTGGCTGCTATCCGCAAAATTCAATACATACAATATATCGAGAATATTTAAAAAAAGTGTGACTTCCGGTTATACTTCTCGTCATAAGTCGCTTGTTTCAAATGGGCCGCCCAGTATATTACTATAAATTTCAGTTTTCCTAAAGCTTTTATGTAACAAACATCAAAGACAGGTACCTATAAAGGTACCTGTCAATTATTAATAAGTAAATTGAATTTATTACTTTGATTTTATAATTATTGAAAATAATTAAGAATCAGCTTCTTTCGCTCCAACTAGGCGCAAGTTAATAATTATTGAACAAGTTTCTAATATTATGCAGTAATTTTTTTTTTATAAAACGAAATCTGGTGGCTCTTTCGGGTTTTTAGGCAGTCGTAAAATACAATTTATTCCTGACGTGTCGCAAGCACGAGTAGTATGTATTTTCTTCGAGTTTCGCAAGCAATGTTATTGCCTCTAGACTCTTTAAACATTTGAATTTGCAACCGATTTACTCGGGAACTTGTGGTTCAAAGTATTGACAATTTCGTATTTCCTGGAAGCCTACTAAAAAGCTTCGTTCACAATA